CTACCTCACCGATAATAGGAGAACAAAGTTGAAGGTTTAAGCAAGAAATTCAAGCTACTTACCTCGGACCCCTCAGAACCCGACTCTAATTTATTTCAACTAGAATAAATCTACAACCCACTCATTTAATAGTCCAGACTAATCTTATTACTTTATTTTAACCCTTATATATGTCAACCCTTATTAAACGATCTAAGAAATCGAAAAGTAAAGAAATAGAAAAAAGACAAGTAGAAAAGCAAAAGCAAATACAATCAGAAAACGATAAACAAATACAAGCCGAAAAGCAGAGGAACAGAAGTGAAGCAGAGAAGCAGACCAACAAAGTCCAAGCACAGAAAACCACAAAACAATTAAGCTTATAAAAATACAACGATGAATTATTTAACAAATTAAGTCTCCATACTTAATGAAAGGGGGTCCGACAAGTTGGCATATCCCAATAAATTGGCAGAATGAATGGCACCATACAGACGGGCCTGAGGCGGGCAGATGACTTCCATTGCTTTCTCCAGGCTTGCGAATTGGCACCACACGCTTTGGTGCGAACATTGCAAGCACCTACGCACCTAGACCTACAGCGCACGACGTCTAATGCTGGATCCGTGAACTGTATCCTTGGCCTGAGTATGAATGCGCACTTCTGTCGTAGATGTACCCTTACCCCGTGCCGGCCATATCAGACAGGCCCAGCAAGGTAAGGGTGGCCTTCAGAAGACGAGAGACTCAGCCCAGCACTCACAAGGTTCTCGTCAGGTGGCGCCTGCTCCTGCGTGTCTCCCTTGAGGAGTGCAACCATGGGTGCAGAACCTCCAGCCTGGCTCGGGGACCAAAGAGAGGACTTGTTCTGAAGGCTGGTTGGAGTTATGCAGCGACGGTAGTGTAAGGCTGCCACGCGCACGATTCCCAACTGATTCTCCACGTTGTCCTTCGTTGCTTCTTTGTAGCATTGCAGGGCAATACGCAATCAAGCAGGAGCAACCGCACAGAAACTATGATTAGACTGCGCGAAGCTAAGTTCGTCGGGTCTGCTCAAAAAGCTTTAGGGCCCGAACTTGTGCGAGGTTCCAAAGGGCTTGCGCAGCCTCCTCGCGCACAGCGGGCCTCAGTCCCGGCAAAGTCGGATCGGAGGGTCGTCAAAGACTTGCTCACACCAGATCTTACACTCTGAGTGCCCGCATGCCATCTTCGAGAAGCTTGACCAGCGGCACGATTGCCCCTGCCTGAGGACAGATGTCAGTGGACTGCATGCATTCCCTTTGCAGTAGCAAAGTCTTGAAGATTATGCTGGCCTTGGCAATGCTAGCTTGGTTCTCAGCATGCTGAGCAGCCAGGTTTCGCAGTGCCACGATAGCAGTGCCCTTGCGCTGAAGCAGGGCAAGGTAGGCCAGTCTACGTGCTAGGTCGCTGCCTGCCTTCATCATGTCTCCATGCAGCCGCTCGACCAACGGAGTCACCGCCCCTTCTCGGGCGATGGCAGCCTGCTGGACGCGCTGCGGCCAACATAGATGCAAAGATCCAAGTTCCGCCTGAATCCCGCGGCTATGTGCTGCAAGCGCCCCCAGTGTAGAGGACGCCTGGTTCACAAGGGAACGTGAGGTGAGACGGCCAGGCTGTCAAAGTGCATCCCCTCCTGCTCTTGGGCAAGTAGGGTGTCGGCCCGTAGAAGTGCCACCTTCTGTAAGAATAAGAAGAGAATTGAGTTCCCTTGGTGCTGCGACATGCCACGGCTGAGGCGAAAGCTAGAGGCGGTACCGCAGACATCAATGCGGCAGTCACCTGATGCACATGCCACCGAATCAGTCAATATGGAATCTCACAGCCCGTCCGATAAGGCACGAACCTGAGAGTCGCCAGCTGTTGAAGCCGCCAAGTTCTTGAGAAGGCTCGCTGCCATGACAAGCGCAGGGGCCTGCGACGAAAAATCAGATTCAGCCTGACCTCAATTTAGTCTTGGCCAAACTGAACCAAGCAAGCCGCTCGCAGGAAATCAATCTGCCATGCGGCTGGCCTCATCACGCTTGAGTATTCGCACCAGGGGACCGATTGCACCTGCAACCACAGGCAACGAGCGTGAACACGCTGCGACAGAGATGTCTAGCCGGCCAGAACACTCAAAACCCTGCAGCCCCCAATCACAGAGAATCGACATGAGAGCACGCGCTCGCCGCCCTTGGAAATTAAAAGGAATGACAATCGCAAGTGACAATCCACGCACCGGTGGAATGCCCTCTGTGCATTCTGAACGCTACGAGTACCGGCTTCAGACCTGCCCCGAGGCCTCCCTGGGCAATTGCGACTTGGTTCTCAGAGTTGTCTGCAGCCAAATCATTCCTTCGAGCCGGCATGCAGTCGCCCCCAAGATCTGACACACCGAGCTGGGATCGCGGCAGAACGGCTGCAGCGACCACACGTATCTGAGCATTAAACATTAACAACGAATATTGGAATATCCCTTGTGTACGGGTTGATTCGATTCTTTTTAGAGTCTGGCCCTCTGCTCGTCATCGTCCAGCAATCGTACGAGCGGCGGGATAGCACCGGCACGGCTGATGGCTACCTCTCCATGTAAGGTTCTCTCCCTAGTCCAAATGTCTCAGAGTGGGAGCCGGATGCTTGAAAGTTGGTGGCCTGGCCTGGTTCGCGGCATTGATTTCCTGTCACTTTAGGACACCTTCGTTCTGGCTCTGGGCTCTGGGCTGGGCCGGGCCTTGTTGTTTCGGGCGAGATTCCACAGAGCACGAGCTGCTTCTTCTCGCAGTCCGGACCTGAAAGGACATCCCTTCGTCAACTGGTCCCTGTGTTGTTCGAAGTCTCGGCTTGATGCGCGTCGTGCTGCAGGAGCCCCACCAGAGGCAGCAAGCCACCGGAATGAACAACTGCAGCCTATGCAGGGCTGAATGCAAATCTCTGCTGTCACAGCCTGAAACAATCTCTTTGCGCAGGACGCCTGATTCTCTGCATGCTCTGCCGCGAATATTCTCAACCTCAAGACGCTTACCCGAGACAATTGTGGAATCTTAATTTGATGCTGCATGACCACCTTAGAGCCTTAGACAGATTATGTGGTGGAGATTGTCTCTGGATGCTGCCCATTCTCGACCGGATCGTCGTCGTGTGCGAATGCTACCAACCGAGTTCGGCATGCGCCACTGCTGCTTCAAAGCCTAACTCTGTGTTACTCATTCATTTATCTGCCAGCGCCTGCCATACCTCACGGCAAGCACAGTTGTTGAAAGCTGTTGCTTCAAGTTTGCTTACTATTGCACGTCCTCAGCTCGGTGCTGCTCCGAGGTGCATGCTTGTTTGCATTTTCCATACTCTGAGCAGGTGGCATGAAAACAGCCTTTTGCTTCTCCTCAGCGCTACCACTCTGCAGCTGCTCCAACCTGCCACAAGCGCAAACCCAAGACTGCGAGGAAGACGCGTAATCCAAGAAAGCTGGGCCGCAAACTGCATTGCAAGAGCAGGATTTACATCCGTCTGCTGCCTGCCCAATATCTGTCAAACACAGAATCGGTCCAGGTTGGCTCCGAGTCGAGGTACCTCTGCGGCTCGTGGCTGAGCCCTGGCGCCCTGAGCGCTCCAGCTAGTGTGCTCGCCTCGCTGCTGCTTGTTTGAGCAGCCGACCCGAGAACGGGCGGCAGTGGCTGCGAAGCCTGAGAGGCAGATGGCCGTCAGCGAGACTCCCCCAACAGTAGCTAATGCTCAGTGCACAGCGGGGGCGGACCTCTGTCATACATAAACACTCGCCAGATGCAGACGTTTGAGTGGTCGCGTGCCGCAGATGCTGCTCCAGGTCGCAGGCACTCTGGGCATCGCCACCACCGCCACCACACAGAGCAGCGCAAGGAGGACACCTGGAAAGTTCGTCAAACTTCCAGCCACAGAAGCACTTGCCCGAGTGCTGCGACGCCTCCGAGCAAGACCAGCGTGGAGTGTCCTCACACAGGGAAACAAACGAGATGGTAATAGTACTCCAAACTTATTGCATCAGTCCCGTACTTCATACGAGTATTTTGGCACGGGAGTCCTGGCCACCGCACGAGCACTCTGCCTTGCGAAGCCGTTGGCATGTCCGGCAAAGTCTCGCCTTCGTCACCTGCAGACACACACGGACGGAGCTTCTTTTGCTCCCATCGGCAACGTATTCGATGAACAGGTCCATGCCTGAGCTAGCCGCACCGTCTTTGCCGAGTCCTGGCTGCAGTGCAGAAGTGCCGGTTGCAAAGCCTGTGTTCGGAGCTTGATGGGTCCTGGCGGTCTCCGCAGTGGAGGGGCTGGCTTGGACGCTCGCGTTGCTGCGGTCGCGGATGCCTGCACGCATCACTGAGGCTACGATCAAGCGAGAAGACTTCTACCGTGTCGGGCGTTTTTGCGCGCTTCCGCCTCGGCTGCCACTTTGAACGGAGAAGAGGTTTGGCCGGTGCATTGGCTTTCCAAATGCCTCGTGCGGAGCGTACCGTACTATATCCAATACTACGATTGCACGAATGGACGATAGAGTTGTGTTGACACCACCTGTGAAGCTCTTTTGGGACTCATCGGAACTCGTTTTCGAACCCGGTTGAGGAAGGTATGCGCAGAAGGGTCTGAAAGGGTGTGAATCTCACCCGCAGGGTATGGAGGGGTGGGATTTCAAAAACAGTGGGCCAGTACAAATGCCACGCTCAAAACCATGACTGCTACAGGGAACAATAACAACAATGCCGAGCACCGGCGACAGCAGGATTCCACGTCGTCAACATATCAGGACCATTCTACTGCATATGTTTGTTCTTCTCAGGTATCGAGAGCCCTGACCACAGTACACCCTTGAGTCTTGTTCACTTGTGATGTACCCAAAACTCCGCCTGCTTGACTGCACGAACAGGCACGAAATCTTTAACATCAAGACTCCCTCCCAAGCTCGAGGGCCCGGCAAGATGCGCTCCTCCGCTTCGTGCAAGGCACGCAGAAGAGCCTTGTTGGCCTGCTTCAACCTCAAGTCCATCTCCCCGATCTTGATACACTTTATGTGCAAGGCAGGCAGTATGGATCCTGGCCTCTTCAGCTTGTCTTGCGTGCTAGCGTGAGCGGCCTTGCCCAGGCCAGACAGGTCGCGTTCTGACAGCCTTGCAAGAGCTTGGCATGGCTGCGCACGGCACCTGCTTTTCGAAGAGGTCAGTCTGCAGGATTTGGGCCGCTTCCTCAAACGAACGACCTGCATCACAAGCCCATACTGCCATGTCCACATGTGCTCCACAACGACTTCTGCGATTGCAGCCAGCCACTCTGACACATTGCATCGGATACAATGTGGTTTTAGACACGGCAAGAGAGGGCCTGCCATTTGTTCCCGCTTCAGCTCAGGCCGATGGGCCAAGTATGCCTTTGTTTTTCCAGGCACGTGGTGGGCCCAAGTGCACTTAGACTTCAAGAAGCTTTGTCCACTCCAAGCTGCTTCGATGGCACGCTGCAGCGCCACCAGAGGCATCAGGGTAGCCGAAGGCAGCTCTAGCCTCAGCCAGAGTCGTCATCACATGTATGGGTGCAAAGACTGCGGAAAACACCCACACTCGTTTAGCGTGAGGCCCTGTGATTGGCGATGTGATGCGATTTCCCTCCTGCCGCTTTTCCCGGAACCACCTTCCAGTCGCGGTCAGGCACTCTCAGTTACTCGGGTAGGTGGGTGAGCGGGAGGAGGGTGGGACGGCTGGTGACTGCGATCGCACACATGCATGCAGAGGTGCAGGCACACGGGAAAAAGCTCATCTTCATCTTATCGGCATTCCAAGTTCCATGTTTGTTTGCGAAACTAGATGCACATATATGTAGACGCAGAGCCCCTGCTAACTCCATGTATGTTTCATGGATACGGTGTATGTCTGTCATACTCAAAGATGCTCATCGCACGACTTTCGGCCTTTCGATGTAATTCCTTTCGTAGACGGAGCCGTCCACTGTCGCAACAGGGTCCACCTTTCAAAAGCGGGCTGCAGAGCTGCAGCAGCATAACCTGCATGGTGCCCTGTCGCTATTTCTACGCCGTGATTCTACGCACAAAAAACAGAGCAGCGCGGCCATGATCGCTGCAGAGATCGGACAGACCTGTGCAGTCACCGTCTCAAGAATCCCTCGAAGAAGCAAGGCAAAGTGACTGAAGTCCCGACGAAACTGTCCGGAACTGGCATGAGGCGCACCGCATGGTCCTCTGAACACCGATCAAGGCGAATGCATTAAGCAGGAAGAATCCCAAGAGAAGGCTTGGTTTGATGTAACTGCCCTTTCCGACCACCTGTCCTCGTCAAGGATGTCGGCTTCTAGGCTGAAGCAGCGCGCTGCACCCTCGCCCCAGTGCTCACCATACCTGGCGTTCAGCAACGGAAAGAACAAGCATGAAGCAGGCAGCGATGAAGTCCGGTCAGCTCAAAAGTGTATACATGGAGCAGGACTTTGTGTGGTGCCACGACACTGTCCCCACGCTTGTGAGTTCACGGTACTGAAACATGACTGTAGAAGTTGCCATGGGGAGAAGCTCAGGGGCACTGCGCATGGCGCGAGGGAACATTCGACGAAAAGGACGCCATCTGCCATGGTGGCTCAGCATGTGCGATTTCGTTGGTGCATGTTGCGATACAACTTCACGGCCTGGCGCGAGATTCACGCCAACGCTGCCATGGCGCAAGGAGAACATCCAGAACCTACACTTAGGTCACAACGGCTCGGAGCTGTGGGCTTGTTCTGTGGCATGCGAAAGCACAGCGGAGAGTTTGCGTACGACTCTTAGATGGGGGCGTGGAACTTGCGCAATTCTTTCAGATACGAGTTTGGACGTTTGTGCACGTGACCCTGAGCCACATGTGAGGAAGCTGCCGCCAGCATCAAGAATTCAATCTTTCCTGTCTTTGCTGGGTCCCTGGCATCTCCAGTCGCTACAGTTCGCTCCCAAGCTGACGTGCTGTCTTCGCTTAATCCGAGTTCTGATGTGGATCCTGACCTGAGCCTTCGGGCTTCGTCGCCCGGCATGCTTCCATCTGCATAATTCTGCATATACAGTGATCTTCTTACTCTTGCTATACATCGGTCGCAGGGGCAGCCGGGTTCACGCATCATGCCTCCTCGGTGACCAAGTAACCCAGTAAGTACATGTCCATTTGCTCATCGTCCACCCTTCCAGAGGCCACTTTGCCGCTCACGTACCGAAGCTAGATGCATCCCAACACACTCCTGCGTCTTCCTGAGGTGCATAGCTGTTACCTTACGACCAGTATCGCTGTCCGCGGCAATCCTTCTATGTGCTGCTAACTTCGCGCATCGTGAGGGGAACCGTCTCCTCCTCCGTTAAGTGGTCGATGTCCTGCACCGCAGACGAGGTTTGGTGCTGCCTACGTCAAGGCCAACAGGGCACTTGACGAGATTCGGACCACAGCAGCTTATGCAGATGTGCTCTGCGTAGCTTCTATGCGATTCCGTGCTCGGTGCAAATTTGAATGCGCGAATCCCGTTTAGCTCTGTCCTTGCCTTGTCATTCCTGAAAAGCAGGCAACGAAAGACGCAGATTGTGATGTACAACGCCATGAGGACAGTGCAGCTGATGCCTCAAACATTGTCTGAAAGGGACTTGCAGAAAGCTAGCAGAGCTATGGCAGCTATGGGAATCTCCAGACGGCTGCAGACACCTTGAAAATAAGATTATCTTGGCTCAATTCTACCAAGCAGCCCAAGTACCAGGTGGCAAAGTAGTAGATCCTGTTAATATGTATTGGCACCGCAGTACAATCCCCTCCTTCTGCAAGCTTGTAAGTGCGCCAGCGTGTATCCAACTGGCATCGTGTACATTTTGCATAATGCTCGCACAGCTCACAGTTGCTTCCACAAGCTCCACATCTTCGATTGAACTCCTGCTGGTAGAAGAAGGTTGGACAATGCCGAGCACATCTTCCGTTGTGGAAAAAAGTGCCATCTTTGCAGCCGTCTCGCTTAACGATGAGTCTCAAATGCTTCGTTTGCGTTCTGTCAGCCGACGCAATGCTGATGTTGATAGTAACTTGTCGCCAGGAGTCAACCGGAGCCGTGCAACCAACAACCCGGTCTGTGCTTGTGACTGCCATTCCGAAGCTTTTTTCCAAGGCGGGTGTATACCTCTCGGGGAAGAGCAGCAAGTCTGCATCGGAGGGATCCGAAGCTCCATACGTTTCTCCCGCGTCTATTTCGCAGCTTATGTTCTGTCCACTATCCAGCTTGGTGCACTCAACATGTGCAAAGTCCTCCGTGAAGTTTTGAGACGCATGATACACTGTGATCGCCGTCTGCTCATGGAAGCGTTCTTGTATCCTGCCGGTCGTCAAATCGAGATTTTCAAGATCTGTGGAGAAGCCAAGTCGACGCTTCACTCGCAAGGTGTACTGGGACACCTCTCTGCTATGCATGCTGGACAGGCTGATGGAGAAGACCTTCTGCTGCCCCTCAGCGACTGCAACTCTGCTTAGATGGGAGTGGCTGGTCACTTCGGAACCATCTTCAAACAGCTCGGAGAGAACTGCATAGAGTTCAGGTTGCACTAGCAGGTCGAATTCAGCCATGGCATTGTCGAGATAGCACTTGAAGTCAAAACGATCCGCAGCTGGGAAGGGTGGATCAAGCACCATTTGCCGTGACTCACCCGAGGGCAAATACCCGGTGACAGCGAATCCAGCCAGTCGAGGCGCGCTTTCGTTCGTTGGTGATGCCAGCACGCCCAAGGGCATGCTGGCTGTCAGCTGGGTCAGTAGAGTGATGAGCCGGTCCGCGGAGAAGCGCATTGCCTGCACCGGACTCTTTTCATGACGCCTCGAGCCAGCTGCTTCGGCAAGGGGCAAACACACGGATACCGTCTACCCCTGCGCAGGGTTCGTTCGCCAATCTACATCCCAGAAGTAGCGGCGATCAATTCATAAGATCACTCGTCCGAAGCAGGAGGGCGTGCGCAACCGAGTTTGATCAATGAACCCCTTCCAAGGACTTACGAATGAACCCGAGGGCCGCTTGGAAATGATGGTCGGTGCTGGAATATGGGGATGAAACGTCGAGAGTCCACATTGAGTATTACAAGCTCGCTGGTTATCTTTCGATTAACCTATGGATGGCCAACTGGGGGCTGGGAACGTTCCAACTTGCTGCTGTTCTTGAGCTTGGCGTTGTTGAAGAAGTAGGGTATGCTTTTCTTAAGAATAAGACAGAAGAAGCAAATCAACGCAAGCATCAGAACATGAACATTGCACATGTTCCTCTGTGCCCTTTGCGTGTTGAAAAGCTGGATATCTAGTTTGGTGCTGAAGCCGACACGGGTCGAGACTTTTTCACTGAATTGTGAGACTCACAGCGCATGCTTCTTTCCTTGATCTTCCACTTTGTCTCCGTACGACTGGCTGAGGAGCAGCTCAGCCGTACAGAGGCACGCGTGGTGAAAAGCACCACGGTGTCTATGCCGTCTTTGCAAAGCAGAAAGCTACAAGGTGATAACATCAGTAAGTAGCATGAAGTATGACTAGCAGCTAGTACAAGTAGCAGCATGCCTGCATTCCTCTCAGCTTGCAGTGCAACGCGTGTCATTGGCCATATAAGCGAAGGCCCACCTGATTCAACATCGTACTCTTATGGACGCTGGCTGCTGCAAGATGTTTGCCATGCTCGCACAAAGCAAGCACGGTCAGTCTGTCCTTGCGGTCTGCATCTGGGAGTCGCACTACCACAGGGTCTCTGACTCAGTCCAGTCCGACATAGTTCTCGAGGACGTAAACTAAAGCCTGCCCAGTCCGCTTTGCGTGTACACTGACCGGAGATATGAAGATGAGGGACAATAAGTAGAGATGGAAGCGTGAAAGTGTAATGGTCAAGAGTCAAGGGATATCAAGAGCATAGAACTTTCAAGCAGGAGTTGCTCGAAGGTGAATTCCGGGAACCCTGCCAAGGCTCCCGGGAATAGGCATAAGATGATGAGTGCCTGAGATTCAGGGGGTTCGCGGCCGGGATCCCTCGACTCTGCAGCTCTTGTTCCAGCTGAGTGCAGAACGTCAAACACGCGCTGATGAGGGCTAAGCAGCACAAGAAACGCCACAGCGAACCTGCAGCGGCAACGATCGCTTCACCATCCAGGCTCCTATTCCTATCATTTGACTGATGCATGCAGAAGCGTATCAGTGTATCTGTACTTAAAGCCTGCGAAGTGTGGGTCGGAGCCAGTACACAGGCTGCTAAGCTCAGCAGGAAGGCTTCGGCGTTGTTTTGCTTCCTCCTTTCGGGGTCGTCATTGTCGGACTTATGATTACTACACTTACCCGAATGCAGAGTCTGTCCACGGCTTGACCGTGCAGGCACCCAAGACAAGTACAAGTGGGAAGGGGGCTGCATGCGTCGGAAAATCACTTGTGCAAACGCGCGAATGCGATTCCATCTCCGTCCTCTCGGCATCGCGAATCAACGAAGGGTACGCGAAGGATGGGACTCCTCTTCTGTTGGGACTTTCGCAGCGCCGTCGAGTCACATGTTGTAGAGCGCGAGCATGCCCGATCCCCAAGCGTCAAGTCTCAGAAGTCTTACAACAGCCTCTTTGCACTGAGCCCGTTTCATGACCGCTTTTGGGGCAGAGCAGGGCAGCCCGAGGCACAGACTCCACAACGAGGATCGTGATGGTCTCTGCGGTAAACTTCCAAGCCAATCCCTGCGCTACGGACTTCTTTTCTCCGGAGAAAAACTTGGCGGTGGCTTTAGTCTTCACTGCCCATCAGCCTGGAAGTATACCAGTGCCATGAAGATCCCCAGGCAGAAGGTATTGTTCATGCAAGCCGCCCCCTGCACTCTTACTCGCAAAAGCTGCTCCTTCAACATAATGCAAAGTGAAAGCTCAAGCCAGCCTCCAGTGTGTTCAAAGCAATCGTAATGGTCTTGGACGTCTTACGGGATGCATAGTTGTACCTGATGCAGCGAGCACGCAGCCTTGAGACTACAGGTCATCTAAGGATCCTTGCGTTTTCACGAAGTTCCAAGATGGACAGCTGACAACTGCCGTGAAGTGGAGAATCAAGACCATCCGACGAACAACCGATTCAGCACGTGTTGGCGCAAAATTGCGCTTTGATTAGACAGAGGCAGCATTCGCTGAAGAGGAAACTGTACCGACCTTGGAGACTTAGGCACCTCGGGGAAGTTATGTGATGTTCTTGCTTTCAAGGCCAGGTACGTTTAGCCGGGCCGGTTTCTTCTAAACCCAGCAATCCGAGTCCTCGTGTTCATTCCTCTGCCCCTCTGCGTCCTGCGTCGGGTTCTGGTCACGCCGCTTTGTAGCAGCAAAGAAAGCAGTTTGCTGAAAGTGCTGCGGCCCAGCAGAGAAAAGCGCACGCTGCCACCAACTCTGACGAGTTCGAAGCCATCGGTGCCAGCACCTGTGCCACTCTTCGCCGCATCACAAAAATTCTCATGAACTGCTCACTTCGTTCTCTGAGACAGTGGCAAAGGATATATAGAAGGACGGGATGCCACTCTGCCTCCTTGCCATCGCATTACGATCGAGCTTACTGCAGCACATATGCACAAGGCTAGCCAGGCCGACCCAATCTCCGCAAGCACATCCACCATAGGGTCAGAGAACACAAGTACCAACAGGGTGCCAAAGCCTCATCGATTGAAGAAATGCTTGGACACACACAGGCGCGCGCGCGCGCGTGCACGCACATAGAGATTCACACATATTGCATACAGCTATATACAGCTGCAAAGTACATTTCGGCATAGCTGGACGACTGACGACTTGATTGCGATCTCTGAGATCACCGCCCATCAGGTAGCTTGATTTGAGCAGGATCTGCCGCCTCAGTGCTAGGCTTGCTTTTGTTTCGCCAGTATTCAACCAGTCTCATCTCGAAACACCCAATGGTGAGAGCAAAGACTGGTCGATACATGTCGGTACCGCGAGACCCAAGCTTGATGAGAACAACGACGTGGTGACGTTGCTTCCGGTGCACATCTGCGCTTGCACGCATGTTACATTGTTACGTATCCCGATCATGGCCGATCATCTAACATCACACCTCAGGTCTGTAAGACATCTGATCGCTGACATCACTCTCTCGAAACCTCATGTACGGATTGCGGCAACTGTTCACAACAGCGAGAGACGACGACAACTTTCGCTCACAGTCTCAGAACAGGACGGGGTCGACCGCCTGCACGTAAAAACAATCTCAGCCATCCATTCCAATCCAATAGAATCGGCCAAGCAACGATGCGACTTCGAAGAACGAGGCCGACCATCAACTGTAACAAACATGAATGTCGACGGCCTAATGGAAGGCTTTTCGCATGTACAGCACTTAACACAAACACACAACAAACACTCACGCGCACCTGGTGGTGCCTGATGACACAGACAGACTCACCCAAATCCCCGATGGTCACTCACCCGTGCACATAATGCACATGTCACATACGCAGCCGAAGGCAGAAAGAGAGACCGGAGAGGGAGGGAGCAGAGAGAGGCGGACAGACATGCAGATAGACAGACAGACAAATAGACTGACAAACAGCCAAGAGTTTGGCCGGAGCGAGAAAGTCGAGTAGCTGCGACTGTGTCACTTTCGAAAGTCTCTGGGCATGCCTTTGTCTTCGAAGAACGTTTGCCATGGCTGTGTCACGGCCGGTTTTCCGCAATGTTTCAGTGCTCATTGTTGAGGGGCCCCAATCGCTTGGGAGTCGGTCGTCATGCGTAAAAAACTCAGCGCCCTATTGCGCCAGAAATCGCGTGCTTGGTACGTGTAGGACCTCGACTCTACGGACCGGCAGCTGAATCCTGAACTGCCCCTGCATGTCGCTTGAGACATTGCGAACTTGCGATCGGTGTGACACAGAGAAGATCGTGCAAGTTATCACCAAACGGCTCAGTCACAGGTGCTGCCGTGATACCTCTGCTCTTGCACGGAAAGGTCCTTGAACTCCTTCCATGACATGTTCACAAGTACTGCTTCCGACGCCCTCAACGGGTATCAACACATTGCTCAAGCGACCTCGGGCATGGACTCTTCCTCGTCGTCCTTCATGTGGCCACAGCTTCGGCACAAACATCGACAGAGCCTGTATCTACATCTATATCTCTAAATTCTTCATCGCCTCGTCGTCGTCATCATCATCTGCCGGTGCTGCAGGTGCATCTGGCAGGGTGACTGCCTCCTGGTCGAAACAGATATGCATGACTCATGCATGACCGAGATTGACTAGAAGGTGGATGCGCAAGTACTACGACTGGTCTGTAGCAAAGGTGAGTGCAATTCATGGCCCTGAGCTCGCCGCTGCTGTGGCAATTGTAGCCCGAGATTTTCTGGGGTTTGCCTCGATGAGTGCATCCGTGAGCTGACCATCTTGAGCGCTGCACCGGAATATCTCAGCCGCGAGTGCTGCACCGGAATATCTTAGCCGCGTGCAGGTGCTTTCGGTGGCAGCGAGGCCAGATGCTTGAAGCATTCCTGAGAGCAGCCACGGCAATCGCCGGCAAGGCATCACGGGCAGCAATGCGCGGCTAAAGGATTCCACCACAGCGAATGCTTGGTGCAGCCATGCAGCTGTAAATTCATCTTGGTCAATGCTGCCTTGTGGCGGGCAGGAGCAACTCTGGTGCTAAACAGCATCGAATACGGTAACTGGCGAGGTGAAGTCTTGCTTGTGAGTTCTGGAGGGGTTTCAGGGAGTGCGGTCACGAATTCGGCGGGTCAGCTCTTCCTTTGATTTGCTTAACACCCCGCGAGGCAACCTATCGAGAATTCACGAGCAAGGGCAAAGACCCGAAACAAACAGGAGTAAATCTCCGTCAGGTGCTGCAAGCCCTGCACAACAGAGAGACTCATGAATCGGTGAAAACAGAGATCCTGTATCAACGAGGAAGTCCGTGCCAACATGTGCCGATCGACGTCTTGAGCTACCCTGTCATCGAATTTCCTGTGCCCTGCATGATGCCGTTGAATGCCTTCGAATAAGAAAAGGTGATTCGTGAGCTTCCAATGAACATGAAGACAGATACCGTCGAGATCAGCAACAGCCAACGCTAATCCAAGCTGCCGTCGTTGTTTGCGTCCACCTCACGTGTACAGGGAAGGCCAAACCGAGACAAGTCAGTGCTCTGCGTCTCCACCTGCTTGAAAAGCTCGGTAGCATTGTAACCTGAGACTTCCGCGTGGCAGCTCGCCACCAAGACGGAACACTCCGGCTGCCTTTTGACCGGCTTAGGGCAGACCAGCGGCCATGCAAGTGGAGGGCTCGCAGGAGGTTATTAAAATCCTGCACCATGCTGGCACGCATCACTTCCTTCCAACTGGTCTGCAGCTACTTACTGCAATTGCGCCAGCCCCGACGTGTCCATCTCTGTCATTCTCAGTCCATCATGATCAGAGGCGCTGGCGTACCTGCCGAGCTCGTCGTTGCATCATGCAGCATGCTAAGCGGCATGCTACGAACTTCTATATGCAGAGACAATGAGGAGTGCACTTTCGAAACCACATTGCCAGCCTTGGTCAGTGTGAAGCCTATGCCTCTTGCAGAGTGGGGATGCATCATCGCCGGCTTGCTGTATCTGTTTTGCAACCACGGCACGTCTCCCTGAAATCTTTCGGAAAGGTGACTTTGTCGAGCAACGCTTTGTTTTTCTCGCAGAATCAGCAGAATTAACCGGGGCATGTGGCATGACGCGAATCCGAGTGATGAACTCTGACAAGCCCTAGCCCCACGGCAGATATTAAGAAGCATCATGACTGATATGTCATGATCAAAACGCCTGTCCTACGGTTTAAGCAGCAAACCGGGAGCTTTCGAGTCTTCCGTGGCCTCGCTTTGTTCCGTCAGCTTCCAGTCCTTCGGTGGTTCCAAACGGACGCACGTGCAGCTGGGATGGGAGAAGTCCCGGAGATCAGCCAAGCATCTCTTCGGAACTCTTCCATCCAGGCTTTGACTCCGAGCCTCGGAGAGTCTCAGCGATTGACAAAGGACACAACGAAGCAGGCAGAGGATGGCAGAGGCTTCCGAGACTTCCGAGGCTTCCGACTCCTGAGCCCTCATGATGGCCGCCACATAGCTTCTTGCCTTTGCCCTGCCGGCCAGTCGGTGAAGGCCATCCAGTCACGTCATGCGGTCCCCGTGGGTTACTGGGAGACCAGCGGTGCGACGCCCGCCCCGGACATCTTATCCCGCGCCCATGCGAGGCAGTTGTCGAACTTTGCCTGAAGTCTGCCGCGCTGCTGTACAGGACATGAGTGCGGCTCACTTGCAGGGAGGGCGCCCGCAGCATTTCCGCGCTTGAAACTGAATGCGGAAGATGCTGCTCAGGGAGACCCGCCACATACTGCATGTACAGATACCTGGCAGAGTCCCGAACTCTACATGCTGCCGATGCTGCGGCACACGTCAAAGCCGGGAGCACATAGAAAACTCCAGTATGCAGAGCACCATGCCGATCAGTGCCCAGGCCTCAGCGTAGTCTCTCAAAAATCGACCTTGATATGGCTTTTGGCGGATGCGTTGTGGCATAAACCTTGTTCTGGGCACACCTTTCTTGAGCTTTGTGCCGACTGCTCAGCTTGCAACGAGCATCAACTCAGAGCCGCACAGATTCCTGACTGTTTTCTTTGGCGATGGCCTGAGCAGGAACATCAAACCGATGCATGATTGACAGTGCTCTCTACAAATTATGCGTGTGCGGGGACAGAAACTCTGCTCATACCTTTGCTTGGCTTACATGTGCCCTCAACTTTCGCTCGGCAAACACCGGTCCGTACTCCGTGGCACTGTCTTGACTTCCGGATTCCACTGGCTAGATGTTAATGCGCCTGTGGCTGTTGAGTCTGAGACTTGTCCCCAAATCTCTCAACCTGGCCGCCCAGCTTGAAACGGGCCCTGACTTCAGCGAGCTGCTTGGTGCTTCGAGTCCAGATCCCGGTCCGTGGTCTCTTGTCGACTCTCATTAAGCCATTTAAGCCATTTAAGCCTTGAGTTTTCAGTTTCTCGATCTTGACGCTTTCGAGCCTTACCTTCACCAACTCCCGCAGTCCTCTGTAGTCTTCTCAAACTTTCTCGTCGTCCGCTCTCTGTCATGACCATAGTGCAAGCCGGGTCAGTATGTGCATTGCGCTGGTGCGTTGCTCTTGTTCTTCTTGCGGGCTCCTCTGCAGGTCTTGCTCGCCACACAGTTGACATGATGATGTCCGAACACACAAGCACATCATACATTCCTTTCCACGCCCTCCTAATTCCATAGCCCTTAGCTATGCCTTGGTTCGCTGTGCAATGCACCGTATCCTGACAAAACCAGCTTGTCCTTTAGTTCAATCACACACCGCTGTGCTTGCGGTACCTCCCCATGTCACCGAAATACTGGTTCAGCGTGCCGGGAAAACGGACCCACTAAGGGGGCAAGATAATCGGTCATCTTGGCCGTCTTGCTTTGTGCTGAGATGACCCGTCATCTTGGTCATCTTGCCCTCCCCAAGTGGGGCAAGTGGGGCAAGATTACCAAGATGACGAAACTCACCCCCCCCTTCTAACAAAAAGCCAGAAAAGCAAGATTGCCAAGATGACTGCAACGACTAGCGGTTCCAGTTTCCCGGCACAATGTACTAGTTGCCCTCCGCGCTCTTTTGGTAAACTCAGCCAGACACATCGCTCTCTTTTTCTCCTGGCAGTATGTCGCATCATGCGCCTTCGTCGTGAGGGCAGGCTTTTGCGTGTCGATGAACCAGGCAGGAATCTGGATAATCAAGTACCTGTAGTTCACACCAACTGCGGTGCCACACATTGAAAGCACGAGTTGCGCACGTCAGTGCCGTGAAGATCATGATCTTGCAGTTTGCTCGTATCTCCGGCTTGTAACCTCGGGGCGTGTGCAGATCTGCATCATCAGCTGTGGTATGCTGGCACGCACTGTGAGCAGAACGGATGCCAGTATGAAAGAAGGTGTTCATGAGGCCACCCTGACAGCTCACCATGTGCGGGCAGCAGGTACAAGCCAAGCAGAAACAGGTCAATATGGCACCTTGGTAAGCTTCTTCTCCTCGCCGTACTGACATTTGCCACCCTCCATGTCAACACGGCCACCGAGGACCCCCTGGCATAGAGAGATCTGCCAGATTCGCTTCGTTCCCAAGCCGTAACTTCCCGGGCGTGCCAGGAACCAGGGCACTGTGAGGAGCATGATGGTGCTACCTGCCGAGACTTTCCACGAGCAAGCACCTTCTGGCCTCCAAATCTGCCGGCCTGCCAAAGCACCGACACCAACCGCGACCTCAATGAGACAGCTTGCAGCTGCTCACAAGACGTCTAAGTACCGCCGAGTGGTCGACGTTTTCCTGCGCCACTTCTGTGGGACCGATGCCAGAAAAGAGCACCCTCAGCTTGAAGTTAGTGCGCACGCTGTCAGTGTCAAACCACGCGGGCAGCACGACGCTCAATGCATGTGAGGAGCATCATGCCATCTGGCACAGCGCCCAGCACCGGCAAAACAACGCTACCGACAAGGCCGGCCACCTGCGCATCCAGGTGCTCGGGCACTTCCCAAAGGTCACCGGGCTCACGAAAATTCTAGACTAGCCGTGCACCTGTGGGATAAAAAGTAGGAGCTCGGAGCCGTCGCTGAGCATGTTGGCTGCGGTGAATAGGATGTACCTGCCGTCAAACTCGCTGGGAACACTTTGGCACAAGTCGAAGAGCGGCTAAAACTCAGGGTGGCACCCATATGTTATGAAAATCCAGAACAGCATCTGCGGCTGCATGCCCTGGCAAGGGCATGAAATGAAGGGAAACAACCAACATGTTTCCACACGTGGGTCCTTCAAGCACAGGGTCGTTTCAGCTTTCACACGGCCTTTCACATAGCCAGATAAACAAACGCACAAATTACACCACCAAAGACGCCAAAAAGGTCCCACATGAAGGGAGACAAGGGGAGACAAGCTTCGACAACTCCGTCGTTGGCCTCCCACCACAGGACCAAACATCTGCATTCCTTTCACACAAACAAGAGTCCCTGCAAAAACTGCTTGGGGAATAAACTTTGTCGGATATGGATAACACAGATGCATACATTGATCGATATGTAAAACGATTTATGTGCGCATAAACATCCGAGTACTACGTGCCCCAGCATGCGACATTTCGTTGTGCGGTTGAGCATTTTTACAGAATTGCATAGGTAATACACACGGACAGACAGACAGACAGACAGACAGACAGACAGACAGACAGCCAGGCAGGCAGGCAGGCAGACAGACAGACAGACAGAGATACTTACGGACTTACTCACATGGAAGCAAACGTAGGTACATATGCAGATGTACATATCTACATATCTACATAAATACATACATACATACATACATACATACATACGTACATGCATACATACATACACATATA